ATCAAGATTTTGTCACCCTAGACTGGCCGAGTCTAACTGTAGCGAACAGCTCAGGTGTGGGGGAGTCATCCCCGTATAGATCTATACCCAAACTCTCGCTCTCCCTCCAGAAGACTCTGATTATAACTACAGGCTACTGCCGACATTTATTGGTGCCACCCGTTATTTCTCACTAAATCCCAATGAAATTGAATAACCTTGTTTTACAACCCGAATGATGTTTACGTGAATAAGAAGTAAGCCTAACAAACATGAAAGAGGACAATGGTGGTCCACTAATTATGTATATTATTATAGATTGTCGAGTATGCTACGCACACGTTATAGTCCATTAAGCATATTATGAATGTTTAGGGTCTTATTAGCAATGCAAATGGACCACTAAGGCCCAATAGCATGTTAAAGCTGATAACGGCCCATTAGGCATGTAATTGGGTCACCAAGGCCCAATAAACATGTTTTGATTATATTGGGCCCAATAACCATGATATTGGGCCACAAAGACCCGAAGATTTTAGGCCCAATCATTGAATCATTTGTAGTTTATCGATTTTCAGTTCGTAGTGTAGGTATTTGTTGTATGCTAAATGTTTATTCGCAATGTTAAAAATACTTTGACGTTTGATTTATAACGAAACTTTGGTTTATATATATATATATATATATATATATATATATATATATATATATATATATATATATATATATATATATATATATATATATAATATATATCGTTAAAAATCCATATGCTATAATTTAATATTTTTGGCCCAATTGTTTAAATATCAACATATTTGACCTTAAAATATTTATTTGACCATTTCAGCCCCTTTTTCATATAAAGTTACCCTTTCAGCCCTTTCTTAATAAAACTAGTATTTTTAGTCCTTTTTAATGAAAAATGACATTTTTGGTCCTTAAACCATTTTCTTTGCAATTTCGGCCCAATTATAATTTATATTACAACTTCAGCCCAAAATATATTATTTGACATTTTCGGCCCTTAATTGAAAAAGATTTACACTTTTGGCCCAAATTCCGTAAGGTTTACACTTTAGATCCAAATTCCAAAAACTTTGCATTTTAGTCCAACTTTTTGCAATAAAGATCATTTTCAGCCCCTGAAATAGTTTATTTATATTTTAGACTCATACTTTAATAAATTTACAATTTCAACCCCAAACATCTTCATTTTCGAAATTTTGGGCCCAAATATCCGTGAGGCCCAATTTTAAGCCCAATAGGATTAAATTTATATTTTTGACCCCTTGAAAAGTATTATTTTCATAAAATCAGATTTTATTTAAATAAATACCATATTACCCTCATAAAAACCGAAAATGTCATCTTTTAACCAAATCTTTGTTGTTTTTGCAAAAATGACCCTTATAAAATCTTTGGCTTTGTTTTTCACTTCTTTAACCATAAAGACTCTTAGATCTTTGTATTATGTTGTTAGTTATGTTCTTGTTTATGAATCTTTCACACTTTTATTATGGATCTCGAAGTATAGCAAATAATAACATGATTTTTCACAACACAAACCAAGGATATCACATATAACATGCAAACACACATAGATCAACACATAACACTTGTATTCTCCCCCCAAAAACAAGTAAAAACCGAAAACAAGGGGATATGAACTCACCTTGGGTTTTTGGTTGCGGTTTTGAAGAAGAAATGGAAGGAGTCTTGACCTTTAGCAAGCTTTCTTGAGTGATTTTCGGACATAGAAGGTTTCTAAGAGTTAGATCATGAAGTAAAGCTATGTAAGAAGGAGTTCTTAACATTAAGATGGAAGATAGATGTTTGTTTTTAATAACAACTTACCAATGGTTGAAAAACTTGTGAAGATCCTTGAAGCACAACCCAAGTCACGAGATTTTGGTGGAGGAAGGAAGGTGTTCTAGAGATATTAGAGAGAGTTTGAAGGAAAAGTTTGAGGATGTGTGTGTGTTTGTTGCTCTTGGCCGAGAGAGATAAAGGGAGAGAGGGGAGGATTTCCAAGTGGGTTATTGCATGATGGATTAGGATCATAATCTAGATACATGAGGTATAATTAGTATGGAAATCCCATATGTAAAAATGAGGTGTCAACCTCTTTCCCATGCAATTTCTCTTTTTTTTGTTAAGTGATGTTGGGCCGAGAGTTTGGGCTAGAAGAAAGAGTTGAATAGTTTTCGGCCATTAATTTTTTTAGTTTGAAATTACAAAGCCCAAATTATTACTTTTCGGCCCATTGGGCCCATTGTAGGTAAAACAATCCATTTTAGGCCCTCATGGCCCATGCTAAGTTTTATGAATGTGGGTCCATTTAGATCCCATCAAGGTTTCTAATCCCAAAATAGTCAAATTGGAGGCTTATTGGTCCATTAGGCCCAATAAGAAAATCCTAGTCCATAATGGACTTAAACCGGGATTTTTAGGGTTTCCAATCTGTAGTCGACTATTTAAAGTGTTTGTATAGAGTTTTTAGGCTTTTCAATTGTATTTTGATGGAAGTTTGTTTTCATCGAATAAACATCACACTTGTTTTCAAGTCATGGGTACAATTGTTGCCATTGTTAATGCTTACATAAACATAGAATTTCCTGGTTGTGACAAACTTTGATATCACAATATCTACATTTTGTTTTAATTGCTTCTATCTCATTCTTTGGCACATGAATGCACTGAAATCCTTGAGGTTTTTGGGTCTTACAACTCAAAACTAAGATCTTTCAAAGTCTGGCATATGATTTCACTTCCAAATCCCAAAGCGAATGAGACCAACCTCCATGCCGAAGGATTGTTCTTATCATGGTGTTGAATCACATGGCATACTTATCTGAGGCACGAAAATTGTGACGATTCTTATTCACTTGGGAATAACGAAAGATCATATTGACGTGACGGTTCGGGATTTTCACGGGAATCAAGGAGAACGTGATGATCACTTTTTCTGACGTGGCGATTTTTACGGTGTCAGTTAAGTAACCAACACAATACATGGCTATTTCTTAATGGAAACCGGTTCAAATTCAAAAATAACATCGACTATAAAAGGAAGTTGATAATTTACTTATCAAACTTTATGCTCTCTGATCAAACCTCAAGAACCCTAACTGTTCATCGTTTCCATCTTTCTCCAAAATTCTTTGCAATGGCCGCTTCTCAACACAATGCTGCTTAAACAACCACTAATGATGAAGAAGTCTTGCAACCGATGATGAAGATCCAGACCATTAATCTTCGTCTTGTTCTATCACTTGATCAGTATCCAGAGGAATTACGGATGCTTGTTCAAACTTTGAACAACTTTGTACTATCGACAACTCTATCATCTTCGTTTGCAATTCCGATGCAATGGCTTTCACTTGCTTCTTTCACTGTTGTCTTCAAAATAAACCACTAAGGTGGTTACATTTTAGTTGTTGAGTTCAGAGAACAAGAAGCTCACTCGAAATCAATTTGCCCAAATTCTGAAGTTACCAGTTTCAGGTACATTATATGAAGTCACAAATGATTAGGTGGTCCATATGTTTAACGAAATGGGGAAGCAACCACCTCTCAATGGAATAAGTCATTGTAAGAAGTCTGTTCTTCTTTGTATGTGTAGTTTTTTTTTTGGGATTGTGCTACGATGTTTAACACGAAGAAGCCCTGGTCTCGACAAAGCCAAGCTTGAAGTCTATTCAGTAATCTATAGTCTAAATGTGGATTATGCTTCAAATTTATGGGAGGAATTTGGAACATCGATTTCAAATACGAATCTCAAAAATGGTGTGTCGAGTGCTCGATTTTGGAGCTTGATTTTACAAGAAGTTTATGAACAAGAGAATATTCTAATTCCATCTGGTGTCGAAACTGTTGAGTTTTCAACAATGGCTGCTCCAAGGATTTTTGTCGATGATGCTAGTGTTTTCCCACTGTTGCTCGCATTCCGGATGCGATGCTAAGGCTCGTAGATCCCAAAAATCAACTTTTTGTGCAATATTTAGCATCGATTGATTCATCTATTCAAACTGGGGTGCTTCCACAAAAGGGGCAGAAGGAACTTCTAAAGCTTCAAAGGTTCAACGGAAGAAGAAACAAGTCAAAAAACCACTCATTGTGGAGGATGAATTTGTTAAATAAACTATACCATCGAAATCTGGGGTTCTTAAGCAAACTAAGAAACCAGCAAAGAAGCCTTCTCATTCTCCAATCAAAGCTACTACTACTGAGCATGTATTCGAAAGCATTAAGCCAGTAGTTGAAAATGTTGAACCAAGTTTTGATGAACCCTCGAATATTGCTTCTTCTACGGGTGGTTTGAAGAAAATCACGAGGCCCCATTTTACAAGGAAAGGTGTTATGTTTCGTGAGGTTTCGGCTCCTAGTTCAACAGCCTCCAAGAAACGTCAAGCTATGGGCATGGCTAGAAAGTTAAACAAGAAAAGACTCGTAGTCGAAACCACAAATGATAGTGAAAGTGAAAGGCCTGAAGTTCACTTCGAGGATTCGTATATTGGTTCACGTCGAAGGGATTCTCCTATCGAGTTGAATTTCAAGGAGACAGGGAATTCTGATGTCAATGTAAATGTATCTAATACGGATACAAACATCAATTTGAGTGATCAACAAACCACTACTATCTCTGAAAAGACTTTGTCAACCCATCTGGGGTTTCGAATACCGAGTCCTGTAGGGAGGAGGTCGAAATTCCATACATCCCTGTGGACTTATCTAATAAGGATGCAAATGTCATCATGGATGAGGGGATAAGTACAGTCAAACCTTCCATAACATTACCACCACCATCATCACCCGTTCCTACTTCTATTCTAGCTTCGACTATCTCACCAACTTTTTCTAGCATCATACAAGAACCAATCATCACTCTTTTCTCATCTCAATCCACTGAGCCTGAGAAAGTGAATCAAGACGAGGAACCTAATGATGACGATGCCATGGTTTCATTCGCTGATATTTAATTCAACCCAGAAGAATAAAATATTCCCGGTGAATTGATTATGTCTGGTAAAAAATTCAAAATCCTAAATTCAAAAATCAATTTTCTTCTTCAAGTTACAACAGATACTGGAGGAAAGCACTATGTGACTGGGGTGAAAGTGGAGTATATGACAAATGCTCAAGAATCTTGTTTGCGAGATTTGAATGAGGGAATTGAGAATAAACAAGCAGAAATAATGGCTTTTCATTCCAAGATTTATGATTCTGAAGTTCAACAGCTTCGTGATGTTGCTCAAGAACGTCATGCACTTCTCATGGAAAAAGTCATAGCAACGAAGCTTTCTCTTGTTGATAAGGTTACTGAGATGAAGTCCTTGCTTTCATATGAAGTGAAGAAAGTGTAGGACAACCACAAGTTGTTACATGTCAAAGTTGATGTGATTGTTGGTTCTGTTACTCAAATGGTAGAATTTCACAACGAGTATACAAACAGATTGCAACGAAGTCAGAGAAGGATACAAAGGTATTTGACCAGATGGAGGATTTCTTCTCTGGTATCAAGGAAAGTCTATCAAAGGTTGATCTGTCACAATCAACAATCACGCAATAATTCATTTCTCAAATGGTTTTGACTATCGAGAAAAACATCAAAGCTAAACTAGATCCTATCAGGAGATTATTTCTTCGACTTCCAACTAATGCTCCTCGTACAGTGCAAGTGTCGTAAGGGGGAGAAGGTGGTAGTTATCCGTCGAAAGATGCAAATGAAGATTCAGGGGCAGCTGTGGGTAAAGTCATAAGTACTCAAATACCAACATTGATTATGATGAATCTGATAGTTTCTTTCTCTACTTCAACTACTACTACAACAACAACGAAAACGGTGTCAAAAGGAATATCAATAAATGAAGGAGCAGGAATATCAATTTCAGTCCCTACAAAATCAACTTCGAATGTTGATCCTAAAGAAAGAGGGAAATCTATTGTTGTTACTCCATATGATGAAGAAAAGAAAAGCCAACAAGCCTTAGAAATCAAAAAGCAAAGGCATATCAATAGCATACTAAGGCGAAGAGCAAATGACCCACCTGGCTTGAACAAGGGTGACCCCAATAAGCAGTGGTGTTACGAAACAATTGAAGACATTGTAGCTATTGGATCAAATGATGATTTTCAAAAGATTCCCAAGAAGAGATACGACATAGAGAACACTGATTTTAATCAGCCTGACTTCCTTATCTACCATATGTTGTTTACTTCTTCGCAATTCAAGATTGCAGACAACTTTAATGATAAAGAAGAGTTTAAAAGTTTGAAGATTCACTTTCATGCAATCTTGGGGAAGAATGAAGAGGAAATGTGGCTTGCGGTGAAGATAGTTAAAGTGATGACTATCAGTCGAGATAGCCTGTTCGAAGGTCTGCTACAAAACTTTTGTTATGTTGTTGTATGGGTAAATAACATTGTTTGTGAGTTCACAATAGCAGATTTTCCTTTGAAGAACTTGAATGACTTAATCTCGGTCACAAAGATTTCGAGTGCGGTTGATGTGGCGAAGATTACAGAGACCAACAAATATGATTTTGTCATTGGGTTTGCTCACATCAAAGCCTTCCTCGACAGCTATTATGACTACTTGCCAGTTGTCACACCCCCAAACCTGAACGGCGGAAACGTTTGGGGGCGAAGGACGTCATGTGCAGTATCATAACTATTGAATAGTAAAGAAAGTAAACACAACCATCATATACATAATTGAAAAGTTACATCATTGTATGCGTTACATATTTCCAAAAGTCAATTACAATATGATGTTCAAAAGTTTTGTTTAACGTCTTAGCGTCATATCTTCAAAAACTGTTGCTAACCTGTTTTTACAGATTTCCTGAGAATACAAGTTATTTGAGAGAAAGTGTCAACATTTAAGTTGGTGAATTCATAAGCATTTGTATGAATAAATGTATTCCATTGAATGAGATGAAATCACGTTTGTTTCTAGAAAATCCGATATTTTCTATAAAATGAGTAGTAACTCGTTTGTTTGTAAATTGAGAGTGTTTAACCTGGAAAATCCGATATTTTCCATAAAGTTGATTTGTAAAATGTTTATCTGTAAACTAATCGTATCTATCCCGAAAAATCCTATATTTTCCATAAAGCATATTTGTAAACTGGACTGTAGTCTTATATTGTTCCAAGACCAGAAGTACAAGTATAAATGTCATACTTAATTTAATAACATGTAGTTTTTTTCGTGAATAAAACCGTTTGAAGAGCTGGTATTTACGTAAAATAAACATAATATCGATTTCACGTAAAAATAACGTATTGTCGTTTATCATGTGAGTTTTCATAACTGTGCTATTAATGAATTGCCTGCCTCGACGTTCTTCAGGCGTCGAAATGATATGATGTTTGTCACTCATAACCTGTCGGTCGTGCTATAGCTAACAGTCAGGGTGCGGGATCATATGTCTCGTATAGATCTAAGTATCACGCTCTCCGGGAGGGGACTCTGGTTATAAAACAAGACTTCCATGGATACCTTTGGTAGGTATGATGAAGACGAATGACTCACAAATTTCCAACGAGATAAGTGTTTTGTTAATGGAAATATTCATACATGAAATTGTTACTCCTTTCATTATGTTTATAATGTATAAAAATAATCGTTTTTCTATATAATCGTTTATTTGCCCTGAAAGGGTAAAATGATGTAAATGTTTCTCAAACTATGCTTAATATAGTTTAAAAGATATTATTCCGTTGAAAATAATAATTCTTTCGTTTGAACGTGTTTTGCATGTAACCGTTTATAAATTTTGTAATAACGTTGTTCCGCATGTTTGATATTTCTACGTAAAGATACCTTAACGTAATAAAATATAAAGCAATAATTTGTATATTAACACAAGTTTCTTGTGTTTTACTTGTATCCCCCCCCCCTAAAACATAGAAAAAGTTATGAAAATATAAGGGTATGAACTCACCTCGAGTGTGATAACGAGGTTGATAACAGAATAGAAACGGTGAAGTTCGATTTAGGACACGAAACAATAACCGTATCCTAATGTTTAAACACATATTAATGTGTGAATATTTGAAAAGTTAAGAATTCATGTGTTGAGTAACTACTAAATCAATGGAGAATGCTTACCAAACTTATAGCTATAGTTATATGAAAGAAGGCTTTTCGTGGAGTTGTTAACTTTTAAGCATGAGAGGAAAGAAATGTGGTTTTCTATTTGAGAGAGAATGGGATTGTTCTTTTTTACTGGATGTGATAAATGAAGAAATGAGGAGGTTGAATCAAATCACATTGGGAAGTTGAATTAAGGATAAGATATCAAGATATTTAGGAGTGTTTTCGGATGAACAATATATATTAAGGGGTTTTCGGATCTATTAACTCCAAGTAATGAGTTTTCACTCCTTATTGTCCACAAGGAAGAGGGTTTACGCTTCATAATGGGCCTCCTTATTGGGTTTTCGCCCCTAATGTCAAATGGAAAGGAGTTTTCGGATTTAAGGTCAAGGTGAAAAGGGTTTTCGGAATTGGGTCTTCTAGAAGGGGTTTTTACGGATTTGGCATTCTAGAATGGGGTGTTTGTTAATGACTCACAAATTTCCAACGAGATAAGTGTTTTGTTAATGGAAATATTCATACATGAAATTGTTACTCCTTTCATTATGTTTATAATGTATAAAAATAATCGTTTTTCTATATAATCGTTTATTTGCCCTGAAAGGGTAAAATGATGTAAATGTTTCTCAAACTATGCTTAATATAGTTTAAAAGATATTATTCCGTTGAAAATAATAATTCTTTCGTTTGAACGTGTTTTGCATGTAACCGTTTATAAATTTTGTAATAACGTTGTTCCGCATGTTTGATATTTCTACGTAAAGATACCTTAACGTAATAAAATATAAAACAATAATTTGTATATTAACACAAGTTTCTTGTGTTTTACTTGTATCCCCCCCCCCCTAAAACATAGAAAAAGTTATGAAAATATAAGGGTATGAACTCACCTCGAGTGTGATAACGAGGTTGATAACATAATAGAAACGGTGAAGTTCGATTTAGGACACGAAACAATAACCGTATCCTAATGTTTAAACACATATTAATGTGTGAATATTTGAAAAGTTAAGAATTCATGTGTTGAGTAACTACTAAATCAATGGAGAATGCTTACCAAACTTATAGCTATAGTTATATGAAAGAAGGCTTTTCGTGGAGTTGTTAACTTTTAAGCATGAGAGGAAAGAAATGTGGTTTTCTATTTGAGAGAGAATGGGATTGTTCTTTTTTACTGGATGTGATAAATGAAGAAATGAGGAGGTTGAATCAAATCACATTGGGAAGTTGAATTAAGGATAAGATATCAAGATATTTAGGAGTGTTTTCGGATGAACAATATATATTAAGGGGTTTTCGGATCTATTAACTCCAAGTAATGAGTTTTCACTCCTTATTGTCCACAAGGAAGAGGGTTTACGCTTCATAATGGGCCTCCTTATTGGGTTTTCGCCCCTAATGTCAAATGGAAAGGAGTTTTCGGATTTAAGGTCAAGGTGAAAAGGGTTTTCGGAATTGGGTCTTCTAGAAGGGGTTTTTACGGATTTGGCATTCTAGAATGGGGTGTTTTCGGATTTTGGTCAACGAAAACACCAGCTTGGAACATTTCCAAACCGTAAACCCTATATTTATTTAATTACTTTGGGCGAAAACACATATATGAGGTTTATTTATGTTTTAAACCCTTAGTCTTTCAACTTATGTTTATTTATAACACACTAATTTAGCTTAAATTTAAATAAGCATGCACTCTTGGCATTTAATGTTCCTATAACAACAAGTTAGGTTGTGAATTTACTTGTACATAGTTGTAGTCTAGACTTTTATTAATTCAAAGCAACGGGTTGTTACAGCAGTCACTGATATCGAACTTGAAATTGCTATAAATAAGAAATCGAAAGTTCCTCGGCCTTTGTTAAAAGGAAAGTTGAATATCAATGAGTTTGAAGATGGAGAAATTATACATCAACCGTTGGGTGTTGTATTTCTTGGAAAGAAAAAGAAATGGTAAATCACCAAGTTTTTGTTCCAAGTTTGTGATATTGAGAGGTACACAAACTCTCACTATACAGATCTCCTTATTCGAATCAATAACTGCAAGAAGAATGGTTGTGAAGACAAGGCTGAGATTCAAAAAACCATTTTATGGTATATGGAGATCAGAAGGGAGCTTTTACAGACGATGAAGTTGATTGCATAATTTCGAGTTCTCTGACTAAGTGGGACATTGTAGGGGTCGAACGTAAATAATGAGGAGTCGAATTTGTCTGAGTCTGTAAAGTGTCGAAATCAGCATGACTTCGACACTCTATCTATTTT